CCCGTGTGCCTTGTATCGGTCCTGTTTCTTTGCGAGGAATTCCTACATGATTCCGGCATCTCGCTGTCTGCACATTGCTAATCGTTACTTCTTGATTTCCCTCATCATCGGAATCATCTTGCTCCGCACACCAGTGTACCTGGCGGGAGAACCTGGTCGGGAATTTCCTCATCCGACACGCCTTGGGTAAGTGCCCCGGCCGTGAACACAAATTGCAGTATGCTTTACCCTTGAAGAAGCATTGATTTGCTATGTGTCCACGTCCTGCACATACCCAGCACTGTTGCGGTCCATTGGGCGGAACACGGGACCGCTTATTTACCGTTTTACTCTTACTCCTCAGAGAGCTTGGTGCTGCTTGACGAACAGAACTGCGCTCCCGTTTTTCCGCCCTCGCTCGAGAAGGGGCTTTGAACTCTCCCGACGCAATCGCTGCCACTCCTACTTCCACTACTCCCTGCTTCAAATGCGGTGCATTCTTTCCCACTCTCTCAAACGCTTCCGCCACCTCCAACACTTCTTTAGACGTCAGCTCTTCCTTCTCGAGCAGTCGCTTCCTCGTTTCTACAGAGGCTAACCCACCTATGAATACCATCGCCACCATCGTATCCCGCATATCCTTCACCTTCTCGAATCCACACGAGTTCGCAGCCTTCTGTATCTCCGCATAATATTCTTGTAAGGTCTGGCCCGTCTTCTGCGCTTTCGACATTAGCGCAAAGCGCTCCGCCATGAGCAGCTTCTTCGGCTGAAACTGCTGCTCCATTGCCTGCTTCAGCTCCAACAGGGTGACCGTTTCGGGCTCCTTCCCCTGCAACAAGGATTCTAATAATTCATAATTTGAGGCACCGACCTCTTGGAGGAAGATGAGGCGTTTATCGCCCTCATCGGTTACTCTCCGCAAGGCCAAAAAATTTTGGAAAAGCCTCCACCAGGTGTTCCAGGAAGTCCCGGGCACATATGGCCCTGGACTGCGACCTCGATAAATATCGTAGGTCGCGGCTGGGTCCTGGCCAGCCGGCGAGACCTCTCGCACTCCCACTGGCCTGGTGGAGGTCCCCAAATTACCGCCTTTGATGTCGTCCATCCCTTATTATTCGCAGTTGATCAGGCTGCTGTTCTCAGGATGGCTGCCTCCTCCTGGCGGTTAACGTCCTTGTCGTTCGTGCTCACGTCGGCCTCCTTAACTCCCGGCCATACAAAAACTGATTAAATTTTTCGACTCCATACACAATCCCTAACGCTTCTTTTTCTATTTGCGAATAATTTCTCTCTTCTTTTGTCAATGTCCTCGACGCATATGCTATCACCTTTTCTTTCCCGTCCGGCATCTTATGATATATACTACCGCTCCTAAACCGTATTCCGAGGCATCTGTTGCCAACACTACCGGAATCTGTGGATCATAATGTGTAAGGATGTCCGCTTCCGTTAATCGCTGTTTTATTTGTTTAACAGCATTTTTCTGTGCCTCCTCCCAGCAGAACGGCACTCCCTTTTCCTGACTGAGTGTCCATTTAAGGGCGCCGCTAATGTAGACAAATTTGGGATAAATTTGCCATAATACTGTACCATTCCTAAGAATGATTCAACTTCTTTTAAATTTTTTGGCTCAGGCATATTCAACATTGCCTGTACCTTCTTTGGGGATGGGCGTATTCTTGCGCATCTACAATATGCCCTAAAAACTCCATCTGCTCCTTAAGAAATTCACATTTTTCCCGTTTTAACTTGAATCCCGCTTCTCTCAATCTTTTTAACACCTCTCCCAACCGCGCCAAATGCGCGGCGTCATCCGGAGCAGTTACTGTAATATCATCTAAATATACGATGACCCCCTCTATTCCTGCTAATGTTGTCTCCCATGATCCTTTGAAATATCTGCTGGAATCGAGCTATGCCGAACGGAACTCTGTTATACACAAACATTCCTTTATGAGTATTAATTGTAGTATACTTTTTAGATTCCGGTTCTAATTCTAGTTGCATATACGCATCAGATAAATCCATTTTGGAGAATTTCTGCCCTCCATTCAACATATGAAACAAGTCATCGGGCTTCGGGAGCGGATACTGGTTGATGTCCAGCTGCGGGTTTACCGTCACCTTATAATCTCCGCACAACCTTATTTTTCCTCCTGGCTTAGGGTACTACCACTAAGGGTGTAGCCCATTCCGAATGTTCCACCCTAGTCAAAGTACCATTCTCTACCAGCTCCTGTAACTTAGCCTCCACCTTCGGCCTCAATGCCAGAGGAACTGGTCTTACTCTGCAAAACTTAGGCTTTTCTAATCCTTGTTTCAACTTCAGTGACACCTTTGCCGTCGTACATTTCCCTAGTCCTTTTTGAAATAATACCTGGTTCTCTTCTAATAAATTCTTCATTTTTTCCCGTAACTGCTCTTTAGTGTAGGGCCTCTTGCCTTCCACACTTCTTACATGAGGTCCACAATCTATTTGTAGTCCCTGATCATATCTCTGCCACACAATGGGTGGCTAGCTGTGCGTAACACATACACTTCCATTGTTATCACACGTCCCTTAAATTGTAACTCCACTGTACATCGACCCTCAAAACTGATAGGGCTATTATTGTAAGCCGTCGCTTCTAGCTTGGTCGGTCTCATTTCTGGTTTTCCTATCATCGACCACGTCGCCTCGTCAATTATTGATACAGAGGCACCGGTATCCAACTCGAAATCAACGGTACGTCCATTCACTATGATGGGAAGCATTATGGCTGGTTCTATACTCACACGTGCTTTTGAGGTAACTCTATTACTGATAATCAAGAGGTTCATTCGAGCCTCCCGTAGTGACCACCAGGTCACTCATTATGTACCTCACCCCATCGCCTGTATACATTATTTGTTATTCAAACTTTATTTATAATGCACAACTCTACAATCACTGTGGATCATTATCTTCATCTTTTAGGGGTGCCCGTCTCTCCAAAGTTCCTTCAACCTCCACATCCCTTCGACCCTGCACGGGCTCTTCCTGACGACGGGCAATGCTCGTCGCACGACTCTCATCGTCATATCTGGGCGGTGGCCCTCTCCACCTTGCTCGTCGCACGCGCTCTCGACGCGCCCAACTATAGGACCTCGGGGTCCGCCGGCCCTGTGGGCGCGCCGGCTGAAATATGTTTTAAGTTTATTGGAACCGCTCTCATTTCGAACGAGCCACTCACCGGTTGTACAAATACCACCGTAGGTGGCGAATTGTTCGGCGGCGACATCATCGAACCCGGGAGGGGGGAGCCGAGGCACACCACCGTGGGTGTCCCCGACCCCCACCCTGGTGCCGGAACCGGAGTAGGTGCCATCACGGGCGTTGGCGGCGTCATCGAAGTTGTTGTCCACGGCAGCAGCACAATTCCGTTTGGTAGGTTCATCTGGCCAATCTTCTTTGGTCCTCGCCAACTCAAAATGAGGCTGACCTCCCTCAGCCAACCCTTTTATGCCCGTCCTTAGGCATATCATCCCTATCCATGCTATCCGCACTGCTTGTTTACCTACCCTCGATCGTTTACTCTCTACAAAATCCTTCATTTTATCAGTCATTTTCCTCTTCCTCGTCGATCTTCTCGGTGAGTCCTTCCTGCCTTTATCCACTTCTTCCCCTAACTTGGGTTCCACAGCGACCCCTGACCTTGTCTCTTTGTTCCGCCTCCTCCGAGGGTCCTCCTCCTCCCAGAAGGAAACCCTCCTCTTCAATTGGTCCGCATGTGCCAGCCTACACCCTGTACCGTAATGTACACGATACGTATTCGATCCTACCACCTCCAAAATTATTCCTGGGGTCCATTTTTCATGTCTGTCCGCATAATTGCGCACGTACACCTGCTGTCCTTCTACGAATTTCCTTTCCTGTGTCTGTCTATCGTAACGCTCTTTCATGTGTTCCATCTGGGGGGTGACTACTGGGTTACTTGGTGCTTTCTTTAAGTCTAACGTCGTTCTTAATGATCGTCCCATCAACATTTCCGCAGGGGAGGACTTCGTGATCGGGTGCTCGGTAACCCGATATTCAAATAATAAATCTCTCACTGCCGCTTCTACCGTTTTGCCCGATTTCTTTCCTTTATAATATCCTTTCTTAAATGTTTGCACAAATCTTTCCGCCTCTCCATTAGAATTATGATGGTAAGGCGGAATGAAAATTAACTCTATATTCCTCCTAATGCAGTATTCTTTGAATTCTCTCGCTATAAACTGTGGCCCGTTATCCACCACTATCTGCTCTGGCAACCCATGGATACTGAAAATATCCTTTAACTTTTCTATTGTTTTTTCTACCGTGGTTGCCCCCATTTTCACGACTTCGGGCCACTTTGATTTTGCATCCACTATTACTAGCCATCGCTTCCCGTCACTGGTTTCCGCAAAATCCAAATGTAACCTTTGCCAGACCCCCGCAGGCGTTTCCCAGGGATGCAATGGTGTTTTTCTCATTTCATTCCCGAAGGTAGCGCAAATAGCACACGACTGTGCCACCCTCTGTATATCTTTATCAATTCCCAGGTACCACACTTTCCTCCTAGCCAACGCAGTCATGCGATTCCTTCCATAATGGCTATGGTGTAGCACTTCTAGTACCTTCCTGCGGAACTTCTTCGGGATCACCACACGACTGCCCCACATTAAACAACCTTTATAAATATTTATTTCTGTCTTTCTTTTCTCATACGGCTTCAACTCGTTCTCCTTAACCTTTTGGGGCCAACCGTGCATTACGTATTTATACACTTTACGCAATATCTCATCTTCTTGTGTCGCTTTTGCTACCTCTTGCTCATTGAATATCATGTCTTTCCATGCTTCGGCCGTCATCTGCTTCTCTGCCACCTCGTTTACCACCATCTGTGGACTTGGCAACTCTCTCGGATCTGGTAATCTGGATAATCCATCTGCATTCCCAAATTCAGATGTTTTTCTGTACTCTATGTCAAATGAATATATCATTAATCGAAGACTCCAGCGATGCAATCGTTTTGCTGCAATTGTAGGTATTCCATTTTTGGGCCCAAATATCTTCACCAACGGTTGATGATCCGTCAGCAACGTAAACTTTCGGCCATACAAAAACTGATTAAATTTTTCGACTCCATACACAATCCCTAACGCTTCTTTTTCTATTTGCGAATAATTTCTCTCTTCTTTTGTCAATGTCCTCGACGCATATGCTATCACCTTTTCTTTCCCGTCCGGCATCTTATGATATACTACCGCTCCTAAACCGTATTCCGAGGCATCTGTTGCCAACACTACCGGAATCTGTGGGTCATAATGTGTAAGGATGTCCGCTTCCGTTAATCGCTGTTTTATTTGTTTAACAGCATTTTTCTGTGCCTCCTCCCAGCAGAACGGCACTCCCTTTTTCCTGAGTCCATTTAAGGGCGCCGCTAATGTAGACAAATTTGGGATAAATTTGCCATAATACTGTACCATTCCTAAGAATGATTCAACTTCTTTTAAATTTTTTGGCTCAGGCATATTCAACATTGCCTGTACCTTCTTTGGGGATGGGCGTATTCCTTGCGCATCTACAATATGCCCTAAAAACTCCATCTGCTCCTTAAGAAATTCACATTTTTCCCGTTTTAACTTGAATCCCGCTTCTCTCAATCTTTTTAACACCTCTCCCAACCGCGCCAAATGCGCGGCGTCATCCGGAGCAGTTACTGTAATATCATCTAAATATACGATGACCCCCTCTATTCCTGCTAATGTTGTCTCCATGATCCTTTGAAATATTGCTGGAATCGAGGCTATGCCGAACGGAACTCTGTTATACACAAACATTCCTTTATGAGTATTAATTGTAGTATACTTTTTAGATTCCGGTTCTAATTCTAGTTGCATATACGCATCAGATAAATCCATTTTGGAGAATTTCTGCCCTCCATTCAACATATGAAACAAGTCATCGGGCTTCGGGAGCGGATACTGGTTGATGTCCAGCTGCGGGTTTACCGTCACCTTATAATCTCCGCACAACCTTATTTTTCCTCCTGGCTTAGGTACTACCACTAAGGGTGTAGCCCATTCCGAATGTTCCACCCTAGTCAAAGTACCATTCTCTACCAGCTCCTGTAACTTAGCCTCCACCTTCGGCCTCAATGCCAGAGGAACTGGTCTTACTCTGCAAAACTTAGGCTTTTCTAATCCTTGTTTCAACTTCAGTGACACCTTTGCCGTCGTACATTTCCCTAGTCCTTTTTGAAATAATACCTGGTTCTCTTCTAATAAATTCTTCATTTTTTCCCGTAACTGCTCTTTAGTGTAGGGCCTCTTGCCTTCCACACTTCTTACATGAGGTCCACAATCTATTTGTAGTCCCCTGATCATATCTCTGCCACACAATGGGTGGCTAGCTGTGCGTAACACATACACTTCCATTGTTATCACACGTCCCTTAAATTGTAACTCCACTGTACATCGACCCTCAAAACTGATAGGGCTATTATTGTAAGCCGTCGCTTCTAGCTTGGTCGGTCTCATTTCTGGTTTTCCTATCATCGACCACGTCGCCTCGTCAATTATTGATACAGAGGCACCGGTATCCAACTCGAAATCAACGGTACGTCCATTCACTATGATGGGAAGCATTATGGCTGGTTCTATACTCACACGTGCTTTTGAGGTAACTCTATTACTAATAATCAAAGGTTCTTCGAGCCTTCCCGTGTGCCCTGTATCGGTCCTGTTTCTTTGCGAGGAATTCTCTACATGATTCCGGCATCTCGCTGTCTGCACATTGCTAATCGTTACTTCTTGATTTCCCTCATCATCGGAATCATCTTGCTCCGCACACCAGTGTACCTGGCGGGAGAACCTGGTCGGGAATTTCCTCATCCGACACGCCTTGGGTAAGTGCCCCGGCCGTGAACACAAATTGCAGTATGCTTTACCCTTGAAGAAGCATTGATTTGCTATGTGTCCACGTCCTGCACATACCCAGCACTGTTGCGGTCCATTGGGCGGAACACGGGACCGCTTATTTACCGTTTTACTCTTACTCCTCAGAGAGCTTGGTGCTGCTTGACGAACAGAACTGCGCTCCCGTTTTTCCGCCCTCGCTCGAGAAGGGGCTTTGAACTCTCCCGACGCAATCGCTGCCACTCCTACTTCCACTACTCCCTGCTTCAAATGCGGTGCATTCTTTCCCACTCTCTCAAACGCTTCCGCCACCTCCAACACTTCTTTAGACGTCAGCTCTTCCTTCTCGAGCAGTCGCTTCCTCGTTTCTACAGAGGCTAACCCACCTATGAATACCATCGCCACCATCGTATCCCGCATATCCTTCACCTTCTCGAATCCACACGAGTTCGCAGCCTTCTGTATCTCCGCATAATATTCTTGTAAGGTCTGGCCCGTCTTCTGCGCTTTCGACATTAGCGCAAAGCGCTCCGCCATGAGCAGCTTCTTCGGCTGAAACTGCTGCTCCATTGCCTGCTTCAACTCCAACAGGGTGACCGTTTCGGGCTCCTTCCCCTGCAACAAGGATTCTAATAATTCATAATTTGAGGCACCGACCTCTTGGAGGAAGATGAGGCGTTTATCGCCCTCATCGGTTACTCTCCGCAAGGCCAAAAAATTTTGGAAAAGCCTCCACCAGGTGTTCCAGGAAGTCCCGGGCACATATGGCCCTGGACTGCGACCTCGATAAATATCGTAGGTCGCGGCTGGGTCCTGGCCAGCCGGCGAGACCTCTCGCACTCCCACTGGCCTGGTGGAGGTCCCCAAATTACCGCCTTTGATGTCGTCCATCCCTTATTATTCGCAGTTGATCAGGCTGCTGTTCTCAGGATGGCTGCCTCCTCCTGGCGGTTAACGTCCTTGTCGTTCGTGCTCACGTCGGCCTCCTTAACTCCTTGGTTATTCAGCTTCCTCCGCTACTTGTTGTGCCGGCCTCCTCGGCTTTCCGATGTTCGGCCTCCTCGGCTTTTCGGTTTTCGGCCTCCTCGGTGAGCTTGTCTCCTGATCGCCAGTTGTGCGACTAGAGACAGTGGAGTGAATCATTTATTAATGACCACATCTCTTATATAGTCTTCCTTATCATACTTCCTCCGATCATTCCTTGATCCTCATCATTTCTTCATCTGCACGTCCGCTTCATTCCTATCGTCCTCTGCCCTAAAACCGGTTTCCCCCCTACTCCCATAACAGTTCTAGTAAGAATAAAAGATAAAGTCCTCTTAAAGCCCTTATTATATTAGAAGCAATATGTGCGTTTGAATACGTACAATTCCTTTATTCTCATGAGCATTTGCTATTTTTCATTAAAATGTCTGCAAAGGGGATCTGTGACAGCGCACGAGAACAACAAGGTTTCTTACGAAAGTGAACGGCGGGCTGTGAATATGAAATTGGGTACGTTTTGATCAACCCGGGGAGTTGCTTTGGTTTCCAGAGACTTTGAATTTCCCTAACGACCGGATCCTTGATCACTAAGGCACATACTACCTATCTCTCTGAGAGCCAGAAAACTGTGGGCAGCTCGAGAATCCTTGCTCGCATGTTGAATTTTAAATCAATTCGAAATAATCGAATGTTACCTCAAACTGCAAGCAAAACCAATTTAAATACTGAATAAAATGGACCAATCAAGCCTTTCGTTCCTCATGGTCGATTTGTTGGACCAGCCTTCTGGGGGAAAAATACTGATTCGTACGTGGACTGGCTTCTGTGTTGCTGCATAGTCCAGCGTATTCAGAACGCTACGAGTTCGAATGAAGTAGCTGAGTGAAATGCCAGAAAAGTGAAATAATGCCTACAGTTTTATTCCTCTCTCTTGAAGCAACAATCAGACAAGGTCATGTCGAGAAATCTGTTCTGTAGGGGGGCTGGAGTAGCCCACGAGCATTACAGTGTGTCGCGGCCCGGAAAGTGCGCGGCAATGGCGCTAGGGCCTTACAAAGTGATCTGGTGGCGACTAATGTGAACTTACGGACGAGATACCTCGCGCACACCCCATGACACGCAACGTGGATTACGACGTAGCGGCTAATTCAAATACGCGCGGGTTAGTGGAGCCGTGGAGCAAGCAAGTTCGTACAACTCGTCCGGCCCGCCCTTCCTTATTTCAAGGAAAAAGAAAGGGAATACTTGTAGATGGCTTTATCGAGTGTTTGCTTTGTTTCTTTTTCAATTTTCAGTCAACTCGGCATCCCCAATTTGATTATCGACCACTGTCACCCCACCAATTTGGTCTAGGGTTGTTGCTTCCGCTTTATAGAGAGAGCACAAGGGTGATTGGCAATCGAGCGGGACTTGTACTTCTTCCATGCTTGAGAGAATCAGGACATGAGGAAAGTCAGTGATAATGTTAATGATAGCCTTATCGAGCGGAACAGCGCGCATGATCGAGATGCAGTTCCTCGGCCTCTTTCCTCCCCACAATTTGAGCGAAGAAAAGGCTGGTTTCCGAGCATCCCAGGGAGCAAATCGAAATTCGAAGACTTAGTGAAAAGAAATCAGTTTTTTTTTCGTAGTTCGACTTCCACTAACGAGTGAGGCGGTTTCTTTGGGAAGAGCATACTTAATGCGTACGAAAATGGTGCGCATATATTCAACAAGTGTTGCCTCCCTGATGATGGAAATGGTTTTTTCGGAGCGATGCAAAGTGCGCGCACTTGCTGCTTTTCAATGCGCTTCCGTTTTTTGTGTTTATTTTTGTTTTTGTTTATTCATTTTGTATGTTCTTTGATTTGCTTGAATGTGTAGGTACTTGTTGCAAAACTCAATAGATGTCAATATCGTTGCTTGTCGCTTTTTCTTTCGTGACCTTGACCTGCTTGAAATTGGGAGCAATCTGTTTCAGTAGAGTTCCTACAACTTCTATGGAAGTTTCCCATTCACCAGCCTGATCAAACGTCGCACAGTTTTGGTAAGCTTCGGTCCAATCATCAATTCACTGCATGAGATTACTTCTTCCATTCACACAAGCCATTGTTTTTCATTCCAGATTACTGGATCATATCCTGCCAGCTCAATAACGGTCAACGCTACCTCGCTCCAGTAATGATGCTACATCGTTAGGTACGTATACTCTGATTACGTGACTACTTGAACTCTCCCCGTGTTCTCTGCCGCGAAAGGCCAGAGCGCAGACGATTAGAGAACGGCGCCTGGCTCGGCTCCAAAACCCAAGAAGAAGGTGAGAACCCTAGGACTAAGCCTTGGAGGGAGAAGGGACTCCGGAGCAGGGTGAATAACGGTCGAGGAAATCCTCGACAGGGGGTCGTATTTGCTCCGATGAGAGTTGGGAGGGGGTCGTAATCAAAAGGTTCATCAACGGACACAACGGTGCTGCTGCCACTTATTTGCTGTCATCATTAGTTTCACAAGTGTTGTAGTTAGCCTAATGCAAATAATATCTTACAACTGTCTGGAATTAAAATTCAAATGGAAAGTGGGTTGTTGGTTT